CTGAGTAGCAGTGATTACAAGTGTGTGTCACAGTGTCTGGCACTAAAAATTCTATATAGAACATTTTGTTGATTTAAAAACAAAAGTAAAATGCACAAATTTTACAAACTTAATATATGACAGTCTTTTGACCCTTTAATTAATTTTTATTTTTCCTTTATCCTGTTGATGTTTTTGTTGTAGTTCTGGTGATGATGGTACTGGCAATTGAACTCATGGCCTTGAACATGCTAGGCAAATGTTTTACCACTGGGACACATCCCCAGCCCTTTTCAATTCTATTTTGAAGCAGAGTCTTGATAAGTGGGCCTTGAACTTGCAAACTTCCTTCCTCAGCACCCCTACCCCAGTACATGAGATCCCAGGTGTATTCTACCATGCCAGACTCCATTGATGATTTTAAYTCTATGTTGCATGTCTCTTGAGTGGTTACATAAAAGTCTTCATATAAGGAGTTAGCATAAACTGATTTATCTTCAGTAAGTCAGATGCTACATGGATGTCAGGCAAACCTAAGTGCAAATCTTTCTCAGTAATTCACCACACAGATTACCTGAATTCTCTGATGACACTTGCTTTCTTCATTTTATAGTGATATTGTGAGAATGGGGTAGAGAGCAACCATTTTCTAATAGGTATAAATTACAGTAATGTAAAGAAACATACTCCTATGATGTGGATATTTTATAGTTTCATTCAGATAGGAACTTGGCCCTCACCCTAATTTTTTTTTTAATAGTATCATTTAGAACTGAGCTAATTTTATAATTAATAATACTATTATTTGCTTCTATAATGTATTTTTAATGAGAAGGTATGCTTTTGTGTTTATGGCTTGGTACTTTGAGAGTCTAAAAAACTACTACTTTTTTGGGTGTAGCTTAATGGTAGACATTCCTGAGGCCCCAGGTTTGATCCCCAGCACCAAAAAGAAAGAAAGAACTCCCTTGGCAATCCCCGATGTAGTGTTTTAGGTACTTTTTGTGTGTATTTATGTGCATGCTCAAATGTGCACAAGTATGTGTGTTTGAAATGAATTTATATTTTTTATTTACTATATCAGTTTTCATTTAGAGAAAGCCTGACTCTAGTTTGAGGATGGCCTCCTTTTTGTGTATAAGTCATAAAAAACCTGGATATTTCTTTTTTTGTTGTCTTTGCATATGAAGTCTGTTTCTAGTATGTATTCTCCAGAACTGGTTGAAAATGAAGATTAGGATTTCTAATTTTTTCTGAATTTTACTTATTCCTCCTTCCTACCATTGGATCCATATTTGAGCTCATCATCACTAAAATGTTTTTAGTGAAGACATGTACAAAAAATAAAAATAACTAGTAAAAAATTGTTCAAAATTAGTTCCAGGTTATGACTGGTTTTATCATCTGTAATAGAGCTGTTTTGTGATATTTAGTAATTAGTGGACTCTAATAATTGCTGTAACTATTGAAAATAAATCCCAGTTTAATTTCTAGGCCAAAACCCATTATGAAACAAATTATTTAAAATCTGTGATGTAATATTTAAGTGGTAACAAGCATTCTTTTTAATAAATGAACATGACATAGACATTTTTTCTCAGGTATAGAATGAGCCAAGGAGACTCAAACCCAGCAGCAATTCCACATGCAGCAGAAGATATTCAAGGAGATGACAGATGGATGTCTCAGGTAAAAGGAAGTGCATATCTATTATTCACATGGGACAAGTCTCTTCAATTTTGGGGGAGTCTTTTGACCAAAGCTGCAATGTATATATATATATATATATACCTATGAATAAAAAATCTAGTGTTAGAAATGTTCCTGATCAGTAGTCTGTCGTTGGAGCTGAGGAATGTTTTGATAACTTGGTGGTTGTCCTATGTTAGTCTTAAAAGATAGTAATGTCAAAAAAAAAAAAAAAAGACTCACTTGAATCAAATGTATGAAATATGATATGTCAAGAGCTATGTAATGTTTTAAACAACTAATAATAAAAATTTTAAAAAAGATAGTAATGTCTTAAAAACTTTTTTTTAAAAGAAGTCTTGAAATTAAACACATATTGCAAAAATTTTAGAAAGAATGTCCTATATCCTTTACCTAGATTTAGGAATCATTAACATTTTGCCATATCTGCCTAATTCTGTCTGAATCTATTTGTATATTCCAACATACTAATTTTCCTGAACCATTTGAGGGTAAGTTTGCTCTCTCTTCTTGTTTTTCCCTAAGTATTTTAGAATATTTGTTAAGAATGAGGACTTTTATTTTCTTTTTTTTTTTAAGTTATTAGACCTTTATTTTATTTATTTATATATAGTGCTGAGAATCAAACCCAGTGTGCCTCACACATGCCAGGCAAGTGCGCTACCCCTGAGCCTCAGCCACAGCTCCTGAGGACTCTTTTTTTTTTTTTTAAACATAACTAATTAAAATTAGAAATTTAACATTGATAGAATATTATTACCTAATCTACAAACCATATTCAAATTTCTCTAGTTGTGGGGCTGAGGCTGTAGCTCAGTGGAAAAGCACTTGCCTCGCATGTGTGAGGCACTGAGTTCAATCCTCAGTACCACATAAAAATAAATAAAGATACCATGTGTTCATCTACAACTAAAAATATATATATATTAAAAAAATTTTTAAAAAATTCTCCATTTGTTCCACTAGAGTGGGTTTTATGTGTGTACTGTGTGTTTCTCCTGATACTAGGGATTGAACCCTAGATTGCTCTACCACCGAGCTATATCCCCAATCTTTTTATTTTTCATTTCAAGACATCTCACTAAGTTGCTCATGGTGGCCTCAACCTTGGGATCCTCCTGCCTCAGCATCCTTAGTCATAGTGGTTTCAAGTGTGCACAGTGGTGGACAGCTAGAATTTTAATGAATGTAGAAGGAAGGAGGGAAAATAAAATCATCTGTGGACTTGCATATTATAATATCCATAGGCAGGCTCCACTGATCAATATTAAAATTGGTGGATACACTTTAAGGAGAAATGTGTAGTATTTGCCTAGCCTCAGAGGGTTTCCCCTGAAATTACTTTGATAATTTTAACATGTGACCATTATTTTTTGATATCCCTTTCTCCAGCAGCTGGAGTGTTAAGTCTATTTACATATACGTGTGTGTGTGTGTGTGTGTGTGTGTATTTGTTGATGGGTCTTTATTTTATTTATTCATATGTGGTGCTGAGAACCTCTGTTAACATCATCAGTAATAAGTCATATTAAGGTCATGTACCCTACATATCAAAAAGGATGTATCACCTCTGTGGAAGTCAAACCCAGATTGAGGACATTTTACAAAACACCTGACCACTGCTTATCAAAAGTGTCAGTTACAAAGGATAAGATCAGAACACTGTCTCAGATTAGAAGATCTTAAGGAGATATGAGGACTAAATTTGACATGGTATCCTAAACTGGTTCCAGGAACAGAAAAAGGGCATTAGTAGAAAATCAGGTAAGAGCTGAATGAGCTGGATGCACACCTGTGCACCMCCTWTAATCCCAGCAACTTTGGAGATAGTTGTATAAATTTGAGGCCAGCCTCAGCAATTTAGCAAAACTCTTTCTCCAAATAAAATAGGGTTGGGGATATAGCTCTGCAGTAGAATGCCACTGGGTTCGATCCCCAGTACCAAGGAGGAAAAAAAAACCTGAATTWAAAAATCTAGTTTAGTTGATAGTATTTATTGATATTAGTTTTGATAAAAGTATCATGTTTATGTAAGATGTTAACATTGGAGGAAGCTGTGAGGAAATGGTATATGGGAATACTCTAACTTTGGCATCTCTTCTGTAGACCTAAAATTATTTCAAAGTAAAATATTTTTTAAAAAGAAATAAAAAACAATTATGATTAAACAAGCATGAGATATAATACCCATGAAATACCTGTGGACTGTTGTCCTTCAGTATTCATGGAGGATTGGTTCCAGGGAAATCTCTCCCCATACCAAAATCCACAGATGCTCAACTTATTACATAAGATGGTGTAGTATTTGGATACAACCCTATGCACATTTCCCTGTGTACTTTAAATCATTTCAGGATTACTTGAATACAATGTAAGTGCCCTAGAAGTAGTTGTTATACTCTGTTATTTATGGAATGAAAAGAAAAGTTGACAGTAGTTTTGATCAGGTTGGTTGAATCTGCAGATGCAGAACTCTATAATATAGAGTGCCTACTATATTGCCAAAATATCTAACCCTTACCAGGTGTGGTGTGCACACCTGTAATCCCAGTRACTCAGGAGGCTAAGGCAGGAGGACCACAAGTTTGAGGCTAGTCTCAGCAATTTAGCAAGGTCCTATACAACTTAATGAGACCCTGTCTCAAAATAAAAAGAAAGAGGTGGGGATGTGGCTCAGTGGTTAAGTGCCCCTGGATTCAATCGCCAGTACTTTAAAAAAAAAAAAAAAATTAGTACTTTTCAGGGAACACCAAGGACAGATGAAGATATTTACTCTCACTATGGGAATGCAATCAAAAAAATTTATATGTCAATATATTTTTCAAAAAGTAAATTTAGGAGATTGTAGTAGAAGGGTGGGCAACCTGTAGGTTAAAAGGAATTTTAGAAATTTATTAACATCCTGCTTTATTTAAAAAAAAACATCAAACAAAAATTGAAATGTGGAATTTGGGCCCTGGTTATTTATTGCTGTTAAGGAACTACTGTTTTATGTTTTTGGAGTAAAATTGCTATTGTGGTTATAGTTTTTAAAGTCTTTTTAAAGATTTACATACTGAAATATTTATACCTGGAATTATTTATCCTTGGTTTGCTTCAAAATAATCCGGGGATAGGGTGGGATAGGAGTTGCGGGTATGACTGACATAATAGTTGCCAGGAGCTAGGTGTGGTAGCACACCTCTGTAATCCTGTTGACATGGGATGTGGAGGCAGGAGGATTGCAAGTTCATGGCCAACCTTGGCAATTTAGTGAGGCCCTGAGTAACTCAGTGAGACCCTTTCTCTAAATAAAATCTAAAAAAAGGGCTGGGGATGTGTCTCCGTGGTTAAGTGCCCTTGGATTCAATCTCTCCTACTGCAAAAAAGAAGAAAAATGTTGCCATAAGTTATATTATTGTAGCAGGGCATAGTGGCACATGCCTGTAATCCCAGCAGCTCAGGAGGCTGAGGCAAGAGGATTTAGTTCAAAGCCAGCCTCAACAAAAGCGAGGTTCTAAGCAACTCAGTGAGACCGTCTCTAAATAAAATACAAAATAGGACTGGGGATGTGGCTCAGTGATTGAGTGCCCCTGAATTCAATCCCTGGTACCCCCACTCACCCAAAGAAAGTTATGTTATTGCTATAGCTCACGATGGATACATGGCAGTTCCTTGTGTTATTCTCTTTGTGAACATTTTATCTTTTCCTTAATCAGCTTTTTAAAAAAAGGTTATATATAGACCCTACTATAGGCAAACTTAATAGAAATCATTGCAAAACCTATTAACTTGACAGAGGTTAAGCCCTCCTGGGTTCATTTCCTAGTATCAAAMAAAGAAATGGGGGGAGCCTATTAACTTGAAAAATAAGGCTCAGCAGTAGACTGAGGAAAATATTTGTRGTAAATATTGCAAATGAAGCATTGATCTCTTTGGTTACATTATCAATAAAAATATCCTCAAAGTATTAGAATGTAAGTACCTCTAAAGTCATGACATGAAGTATTTAACTTTTGTTTCCTGAAATGGAAAAAGAAAGGAGTGGTGTAGGAGAGCTAATAATCAGTTCAAGTGAAAGTACAATAAGAATAATCCTAATACATCACTAACCAGTATAGATTGTTATATAGCTCATTTGTTATAAATTTGAAGCTCTGTACTGCATCTACTGTGAAAATGAAGGTTGTTCTTGGTAGTCAGGCTGTTGACATTCCAGAAAATGTCAACATCATTCTGAAGGGACGCCCGGTTATTATGAAGGGCCCCAGAGGGACTTCAGTCACAACAATATGGAAGTTTGTCTCCCTAGAAAGAAAAAGAATAGGCTTTAGGTTGACAAATAGTGGGGAAATAGAAAGGAACTGGCTACTGTTCACACTGTCCTTAGTCCTGTACAAAACACAATCAAGCCCTGAGCTTCTGTGAGAAGACAAGATCTCTGTATGCTCACTTCCCCATCCACATCATTATTCAGGAGAATGGGTTTCTTGTTGAATTCAGGATTTCCTGGGTGAAAAATCTGTAGGGTTCAGATGAAGACATTTGTTGCTTATTCCATATCTCAATCCCAGAAAGATGAGTTAATTCTTGAGGGAAATRATATTGAACTTGTTGCTATTTTTCCAAGCTTATTACAACTATTTTTGTACTGTAAAATAAATGTAAAGTATCAGAACCTTTGGAACAGCAGTGGATGCATTCAAAGAAGATGATATGGCCATTAAAAATATGGTTATAAAAAATCATAAAAACTACATAGAAAAATGCATACAATATGATGTTGAGTACAGTTCTAATAGTTGTTGCTTGTTGACTACATATTATGTGCCATACGATAGCTGAGCCCTTTTCATAGAATGATCTTCTAAACTCCAAAAAGAGAATTATCACCAGCTGTGAAAACCAAGACTCAGATTATGCACTTGCTTTAATGTCACGAGACTAGAAAATAAACAAGATAGAATTTGAGTATAGTTCTTTTGCCCCTGACCCCCACACCCATTGTGCCAGGAGGAGGTGTTTGTGATGATTAACTGTGTTTAAAAACAAAGCAAAAGGTGGGGGGAGTAGAAGATAGATAGGATCATGTGAAAAAAAGTGATAAGAAAATATCCTAAAATGATAATAGTTTTGGATTAGTCTTTTCTCTTTTTTTTCAAACTTAATACAACTACTTCTATACTTTATTGATTTATTTTATTTGATACTGGGATTGAATCCAGGTGTACTTGACCACATTGGGCTGCATCCCCAGTCCTTGCTTTATTTTTTTAAAATTTTGAGACAGGGACTTGTTAAGTTGCTAAAGCTGGCCTCATACTTGGAATCCTCCTGCTTTAGCCTCCCAGGTTGCTGGTGTGCACCACCACTCACAGCTCTGCCTCTGCACTTGAAATGTGAAGTGCTAGAATCTTTGGAACAGCAATGCTTAAATTCTGTTACTCTATAAACATGAGCTGTCTTGTTGATATTGAAARTGGTAATTGGTGCATGCAGTAGAGAGTTGACACTTGAAATAGCTAAGGTTTTTTTTTTGTTGTTGTTGTTTGGGTTTTTTTAGTGCTGTAAATCAAACACAGGGCCTTGGGCATGCCAGTCATGTGTATTCTTCCACTAAGTTGTGCTCCCAGCTCCCTGGTTTATTCTTGTTTTATCTTCACCTTTCAATTTGAAAATACCTCTGGAAAAAATAGTAATTAAAAAAAAAGTTTATTGCACAAAACATGGAAGCAAGAAAAAAATTATGCTGGGCTGGCTCATACCCACGATCCCAGCTAATCAAGAGGCTGAGGCCAGGAGGATTTTAAGTTTGAGGCCAGCTTGGGTAATTTAACAAGATTTTGTCTCAAAATTTTTAAAAAAAATTTAAAAGAGGCCTAGAGCCTGCCATGGTGGTGTGCCTGTAATCCCAGTGATTTGGGAGACTGAGGCAGGAGGAATCAAGTTCAAGGCCCTAAGCAACTTAAACCCTGTCTTAAAAAAGGAGGAGAGGAGTTGTAGCTCCAGTGTGAAGTGCCCCTGGGTTCAGTCTGTGATACCAAAAAAAAACTTTTGAAATGAAAGGGGTTGGAGATATAGCTCAGTGACAAAGCACCCAAGGGATTCAGTCTCTTATACAAAAAAAAAAAAAAAGGAGGGAGGGAGAAAGATAGGCAGGCAAGCAGGCTATCCTTGATTCTGTCACCATGAGAAAGAACTGTTTTAATCAAAACTGTCAAATTATTTCTGGAAGTATTTTCATTACTTTCATTTATTCATTCCACTGTGTGGGTGAATATCTCTTCACCATTGTGTCATCTGCATTGCTGTTGTCACCAGAAATACTTTAAATAGCAATTCTACCTTAATTCCTAAGGGAAATAGTAGAATGTAGAGTTGGAAAATAAAGAAACAGTGTTCATACCTTCCCGAGGAACTATCTTAAAGCATCCTGCAAATTTGTTTCTGGGATGAATATAAAATTTAAAATTTTGTCTTTAAGCATGATGGGTAAAATTCATTTTTAAAAGTGTCTTAGCTAGGTGTGTTGGCACATGCTTGTATCTCAAACTACTCAGGAGGCTAAGGCAGGAGGATCACTCAATACTAGGAATTCGGACCTGTTTGGCAACTTAGGCCAGACTCTGTCCTGTGTGTRCACATGTGCATGCACACACATGGGAGTAAACTCAGGGCCTTGCACATGATRGGCAAATTCTCTACCACTGATCTATATCCCAGCCTGAGATTCTGTCTCTAAAAAAGGAAGGAGGAGGACTGGGGACACAGCTCAGTGGTAAAGCGCTTGCCTCTCACATGGGAGGAACTGAGTTGGATCCTCAGCGTCACATAAAAATAAAGATACTATGTATTCATCAACAACTAAAAAAAAAAATTTAAAAAAAGGATAGAAACAGTTTAGCTCTTGGAGCAATTGGAAAGATTGAAAATGGATCGAATATTGWTGTTATGGGATTATTATTCATTTTTAGTATGAAAGTAGTTGATGGTTTCATAGAAGAATGTCCTTTTAGTAGATGTGTGCAAAAATATTTAGGGGACAAAGAATCATATTTGCAACTTATCCTTTTAAATTGTTCAGCAAACATATACACATACATAGAGATGAATCTGGGAATTTTTTTGGTGGGGTGGGGGTGGGGGGACAATACTAGGTATTGAAACTCAGGGCACTCAACCACTGAGCCACATCCCCAGCCCTGTTTTGTATTTAATTTAGAGATAGGGTCTCACTGAGTTGCTTAGTGCCTTGTTTTTACTGAGGCTGGCTTTGAACTTGCAGTCCTCCTGCCTCAGCCTCCTGAGCCACTGGGATTACAGGTGTGTGCCACTGCGCCTGGCAAACTTGGGGATTATTTTTATTTTTTATTTTTTTGTAGTTGTAGATGGACAACATGCCTTTATTTTATTTTTATGTGCTGCTAAGCATTGAACCCAGTGCCTCACACTTGGAAGGCAAGCGTTCTGCCACTGAGCTACAGCCCCAGTCCAAACCTGGAAAATTTTTTAATAAAAGTTTGAGGAAGCTGGGTGCAGTGGCACATACCTGTGATCCTATGGACTTTGGATGCTTAGGCAGAAGGATTGAAAGTTCGAGGCTAGCCTTAGCAATTTACTTGAGGTCCTGTCTCAAAAAATAAAAAGGGCTAAGGATGCTTGAAATCCACACCAGTTGGTGTTCAGTGGGAGAGAGCCCCTGGGTTCAATCCCCAGTATGTATATAGGTATATATAAAGAATGTATGAGGAAAAGATAAATAAATTTWAAAAAAACRTGAAATGTAATTTTCTTTTCTGGTTTCAGTAGAATTTGGGTTTTCTTGATCATATGAAAGTGATCAATATATGGTAAGGGAGGAAGAGAGTTGGTTGATCACAAAATAAGAATAACTTTAAGGATAGATCAAAAAGGTGTTTGTTTTTTGAGTTTGGTTTTTTGCTTATTTTTTTTGGTGCCCATGGCCTTGCACAGGCTAAGTATGCTCTGTACTACAGAACTATACCCCCCCCCCCCAAGCCAAAGAGAAATGTTTTAACAATAACTGGTTGTTCCTTCTAGGCCAAGAAATCTCAGGGAAATAAATGCCAGTTTCTGATTTTTTTTCTTTTTTCTTCACATCAGCACAATAGATTTGTCCTGGATTGCAAAGACAAAGAGCCYGATGTACTATTTGTGGGAGACTCCATGGTACAGTTAATGCAACAATATGAGGTAAAAGTGGGGAGAGGGTGGTTCATGGCTACTAGTATGTATCTGTTAGTTACCAACAGACTTTCATTGTGATCTGACCATATAGATTTATTCATAACTTTTAGAGAAGCTCTAGTTCAAAGTACAAGGGAAATCAGACCTACCTGATGGGATTCTTGGTGCCACCAAACATGATTTAAAACAAAAACAAAAACAGCATTGTTTGTAAACTGTTTTTTGTTCTGACTTCTAAGTAGTTTGATGTTATGTTTATTTATTTTTTAATTTAAATATATGAGACCTAGTAGTATCATGTCTCTACACCAACTGATGTGGATTTAATGCATTTAGAAGACCAATTTCTGTTTTTTATTTTTCCCAAGGATTACTACCAGGTAATAATGTCTTTCTTTCCTTTCTGAATCATTAATTTACTTCTCTTCCTAGAGTCTTTACTATAGAAAAAACTACCAAAAGAGTTCTCTCAATGAATTTTTCCCTGACGGAGACGCAGGGATTTCTTTTTTTCCCCTAATTCTCTGAATCTTATTCACATCAGTTGGTACCCCAAAACTGCCCAAGCAATGTCCAAATGGCTATTAAGCTATAGCCCCAAACAGTGAAGATTAAAGATCTTAATTGTGCTCCCTGGTATGACATGCCTGGCTGGAGGACCGTATAAGGTTCTCCAAAGACCAAGGACTGTTTACTTCTACCACCAAGTCATTTATAAGTACCTTATCACTTTGAGCGGAAAAAGAAGGGAGATTCCCCAAGATGAAAAGATGACTTATTTATTCCTGGATCATTCCCTAAAGTCCAGGCTGCTGGTTTGGCTCACCATGTGCAGCAAGTTGCCTTTACATGTGATTATTACTCCTTTCCATACAAATTGGGAGGGCCACCAGAGGGCACATTTCTCCTGACTGGCTCACCAAAACGGTCTGGCCTGTCTGTTGCTCAGATACTAATATTTGGGAGACAAGTGTTGCTAGGAAAGAATTAAGTTTGTTTAAGGCTGGCTCTAAAGAAAATAGAGACGATAGCAACTCAAAGCTGTCTTATTTATTTTTGTAATGAGCTATTCCAAATCTTTTTKGGGGGTTGGGCATTTTTCTGAGGGAAATTTAAAAGAAGACATTGCTTTTTATTTTTTTTGGCTCATGTGTTTCTGCTTCACCCAATTTTAAAAACATAGTTGAATAATTGAAAAGGAGAGTTTATTGAATTGGTAACTTAATTTTAAAATGTTGGGATCTTTTAAAGATCATCAGATTGAGTTGTGACTGAGTTCTTGAGCTCAGTGCTGCATTAAGAATTTGTTACAACACAATGGCATCTTCAAAGCTGTTTAAACAGTGAATGGCACATCATTTGCAGTGTGTTTGAGAGCTTGTTTGGAGGTTCTAGCAGGGGAGCACAGCTACTWGTATACCCTTGACTGAAGAATGGTCATCCTTTAACGGGAAGGTAATCCTCTTTGAGCACAAAGCTTCAGGAGAGAAGCACATGGAGAGGTGAAGGAGGAAGGGAACACCCACCTAGCCAGCCAGATCAGCTAAGTCAACCCTGGGGATCACGGATGTTTTAGCCAGATCACCCTCACATCCCCTTTGCAGTATGTTTGAGTAGAGATAATGGAAATTGTCTATTTTAGAGGCTTTACCACCCATTGCAATTGAAGAATTTCATTTTCCATTAATTTTAGCTTTACTAACCCAAGTTTTCTCTTTAGATATGGCGAGAGCTTTTTTCCCCACTTCATGCACTTAATTTTGGAATTGGGGGAGATACAACAAGACACGTTTTGTGGAGATTAAAGAATGGRGAACTGGAGAACATTAAACCTAAGGTGAAATGAAACTTACTTTTAAAAGAATATCTTTAACTTTAAGTCTTTGTCAAATTAAGTTGTTAAATTATCTGAAATTGTAGTAAAAACAACACATTGCTTTAATATTCTTCTTTGCTTCATGTTTTACATATTGTTTGCCTGGGTTATATTTGAAATTGTTAAAACTAGCTGGGTGTGGTGGTGCACACTTATGATCCCAATGATTTGGGAGGCTGAGGCAGGGAAGATGGCAAGTTTGAGGCCTCCTCAACAACTTAGCGAAACCCTGTCTGTAAATAAGAAATAGAAAGGGCTAGGTATGTACCTCAGTGGTAAAGTCCTCTGGGTTCAATCCTCAGTACCCCCTCCTCCCAGTAAAGAAAAAGAAATTGTTAAAATTATTTTCTTCATGGGCTGGGGATGTGGCTCAAGCAGTAGCGCGCTCGCCTGGCATGCATGTGGCCCGGGTTCGATCCTCAGCACCACATACAAAGATGTTGTGTCTGCCGAAAACTAAAAAATAAATATTAAAATTAAAAAAAATTATTTTCTTCAGTTGTAGGAAAAGATTTGGTGSTAACAATATATGCTTTTCTGTGGAGTAATGGACCTGGGGCAGTATGAGGGGGAAACTGCTCTTAGGTGGGCCATGGGAATAGGGCCAGGAAGTAATGTGGATCTATTTATCATATAAGCAAATTGGTAATCAAGGTCTTCAAGTTCCTCTGAAGAAAATTTGGAGTAGATGTAAACAAATAAACATCTCTATCCAGTACCTTATCACCTTATAAACATCCTAAGTCCATGTGCTGCAAAAAAAGAAAAACCCCAAAGCTGAGCTGATAAATGTTGATTTCATTGAAAGTATCCATGCACCTCTTTTTTTTTTTTTTTTTTTTTTTTCCTTCTTCCCGTTTGCAGTGCAGGGTTTGAACCCAGGGGCTTCCCTCATGCTAGGCAAGTGCTCTGCCACTGAGCTACATCCCTAAGCCTCGTGTGTCTCTTTTGGGACAGAGCAGAAAGGCAGAAAGTTGTTTTGTTGGGCCATATCATTAGATGTATGTCTCTTAAGTGACAGCCACTTTGTAGAATGATACCCCCCCCCTCCAGTATCCAGGGGCACTCAACCCCTGCRACACTGCCCAGCCCTTTTTAGTTTTTATTTTGAGACAGGGTTCAGTAAGTTTCTTAGGGCCTCACTCAGTTGCTGGGGCTGGCTTTGAACTTGTGTTCCTCTTGCCTTAGCTTCCCAAGCCACTGGTATTACAGTTGTGTGTCACCACACCCAATTTGTAAAATTATATATTTTATTTTAAGAGGAAAGCTTTTTGGAACATTAGCCAGCTTCCACTCCGGTGACTCTTTTCCTTGAATTCACCTTTGTATTTATACACATTATAATCCCTTCAGAGTTTCTATTATTATATGAGATGCTCCTAATCGGGGAGATGTGAATTACATTTTTCCCCCCATATTTCTCAGATTTTACTGGGGATCCTGGGGATTTAACCCAGGAATGCTCTACTTCTTAGCTATATCCACAGCCCATTTATTTGTTTGTTTGTGACAGAGTCTAAGTTGTACAGGCTGGCCTTGATTTTGCAATTCTACCTCAGCCTTCTGAGTCACTAGGATTAACAGGCATGTTCCACTGTGGCTGCCTAGGTTTGATTGATTGATTGATTGGTATTTTTTAGACATTTCCTTTTCTCTCTTTTTTTTTWAAAATAATTTTTTTTAGTTGTAGATGAACACAATACCTTTACTTTATTTGTTTATTTTTATGTGGTGCTAGGGATTGAACCCAGTGCCTCACGCATGCTAGGCAAGGCTCTACCATTGAGCCATAACCCCAGCTCTATTTATATTTTTAAAACATTTTTTAGTTTTCGTAGTCTTTTTTTGTTTATATGCAGAGCTGAGAATCGTACCCAGTGCCTCACACATGCTAGGCAGCCATTCCACCACTGAGCTACAACCCTAGCCCCTAGATTTTATTTTAATATAGTTGAGTTTTCCGTAAATCTTTTTTATATAGTTTCTRGATTTTGAGAGATTAGCTTCCTACTCTATAATAATAGAATTTTCTCTTTTCCTTCTAGTATAGTTTTGCCAATTAAATATTACTCTGCTTGGAATTTATCCTGATGCAGGATATGAGGTATAAATCAATGTTTTAAGATAGCTGCCTAGTTGAAGTTACCCAGCATCATCTGAGAAGTTCATATTTCTTTCTTTTTTTTTTTTTTTTTTTTTTAGAGAAAGAGAATTTTAATATTTATTTTGTAGTTTTCGGCGGACACAACATCTTTGTTGGTATGTGGTGCTGAGGATTGAACCCGGGCCGCACGCATGCCAGGCCAGCGCGCTACCGCTTGAGCTACATCCCCAGCCCCAAGTTCATATTTCTTTCTTTGTTGAAATCAGATTTTCATCTAAATGTTGGACATTCCTTTATTTCTGGGTATTTATCCCCCTTCCCCGCCTTCCCACCCTTCTTCCGTCCTTCCAGGTCATTGTTGTCTGGGTAGGAACAAACAACCATGAAAATACAGCTGAAGAGGTAGCAGGCGGGATTGAGGCCATCGTACAGCTTATCAACACAAGGCAGCCACAGGCCAAAATCATTGTATTGGTACGTAATCTTTGTTGAGTGGAGAATTTKATACTTTAGTTTTGCTGAGGAATCTTTTTAAAAATACTGTGGCTGATGAATCTGGAGAATCTTTAGGTGAAAGTTTAAGGTACTACTTCTTGACCTATTTTATTCTCTGATGTATCCTACTGTTATTAGTCTCAGCATTCCCTATACCAACTATAGGGTTGTTTTATCTGCTTATCTTTGTTCAGACATATGGAAATCCTTTGTTGCCTCATGTAGACTTTTTCTTTGTTACCTTTATTGATAAAAAATTGTACATAGAGATTTGTTTGAGTCCTGTGTCTCTTTTTAATAAACCTAGTTTTAGGTTAGCTTTGTTGCTTGGTCTGCTGTTAGTATATTAGAGGTGTTATATGTATTAGAATATCTGAATTCTCTAAAACATCAGAAATTTCTATCAAGAGGAAAAGAGATACTTCATAATCTTACTTCAGCAGAAAGTGTTATCATTTGTAAAGTTAAAGCTAATTCTTCATAGTCTTAAAGATAAACAGCTATATTTCTTAGTGTAAAAGCCTAGATATAGATATTTTTTAGCCATATTTGAAATGTACATTTTAGTAAACTGATACATATTTAGTTCTTTAATGAGATAATGTTAAGAAGGTAGCCATTTGTTCAACAGACATGAAGATCATTGTATACAAGGCACTATCCTAGGTCTGGAGCACACAAAAATGAATAAGGCATCATCCCTCTGAGGGAGTTCACAGTCTAGTAGATGGAGACAGCAATATAGAGAATTACTCTACTGTATACTAATGGCAGTGAGGAAAGAACAGAGGATGTTTTAGACAAACATTACCATATTAGAGTTTAGTTTTAAAGAATTCATTGTTCTCCAAATGGGGAAGGAAGAACTTTGGAAGCATTACAGAGAAAAAAGAAGAAAATGATCAARGGCTTGTACCTGTATGTATTTGTTGGGTAAACATAGGAGGATATATAAAGTTTGAGGCTCTAATGGTCAGGAGGAAGAGGCCAGAGCCAGATCATGTGGCCTAGTATGCTATGCTAGRGAGACTTGATTTTGATTTATCGATGCTACAGAGCCAGATCTTATTTATTTTTTTTTATTCCATGGTGTAATTTACTTGTTGATATATATCCTGTATTATTCTAGAAAGGATTSTATTGTGGTTAACAGTTTACTTTTAAATTACAGTGACAAGAATTTAGTAGTTGCTTAGGAAATATTGTTGTATGAATGTTGCTGGGTAAATCTTCCATAAATATTCTTTATTTTAGGCAGATTTTGAAATTTGAAATATAGAAGTATTAATTATTGATAATACTAAAATATTTGGAATAACCTAAATAGCCAGTAGTATAGGGATGTGATCACATAAGTCATTGGATATGTTGGTGTTAAATACATTATAGTTATAAGGGCTGTGTAAAAACAGTGAGTTTAGATGAAAAGTTGGAATGCTAAACAACATGTATATTATATTTAGAATTACTTAAACATGTAGTTGGAAAAGTGCTAAAAGGAAACAAAATTAACACTTGTTAGAAGGTGAAGGGATTAGGAGTGTAATATATATTTTTTCCTTTAACATTACCATATTTTAGCAGTTGTTAAAAACCAATGTGGAATACCCTCAATAGTGATATTAAGGAAGATGGCATTCAAATGCATAATTTTTCTCATCCTTGGCAAAAAAATCTCAATAAATATGTTTCCCTGTTCTTGAGACTTAAATATATATATATGTGTGTATATATTAGTTATTGATGGATATTCACTGGTCATCTTTCCTATTGTTCATTATATCTCCACCCWGACTTTGACATGTCAGCACTGAAGAGTGTTCTTCTTTGTTAACTATTAGATACAAYACCTTATGCTTTTAACAGAAATACAAACTAGGGTTTGACTTCATTTTGTAAAATTTTTGAGATACTTATTGGTACTCCTGGCCCTAACATTTTCTGAAAAAGCTTAGACATGGAAATGTATATATTTTGAGCATGTTTTTTTTTTAATATTTTTAAATCATACATGGACGCAGTATTTTTATTGTTTATTTACTTTTATGTGGTGCTGAGGATCGAACCCAGTGCCTCACACATGGGAGGCAAGTGCTTTACCACTGAACCACACCCCAGCCTCCCAGCTATGCTTTTTAAAAAAATACTTGCAGAAAATATACTTCTGTAAAATAAGACCTGTTACCATACAGACCCTATAAGAGAAGCTAGTGGAAAAATTTTTGCTTAAATAAAAGTAACTTCTATTGGGTATCAACCAACTGAAATATTAGGGATTTTTTTTTTCTTTTATTACCAGGGATTGAACCCAGAGACACTTACCCACTGAGCCACATCTCCAGCCCTTTTTATGTTTTATTTTGAGACAGATTCTCACTAAGTTGCTGCGGTTGGCTTTTTTTCTTTTTTTTTTTTTTTTAATATTTAATTATTTTTTAGTTTTCGGCGGACACAACATCTTTGTTTTTGTATGTGGTGCTGAGGATCGAACCTGGGCCGCATGCATGCCAGGCAAGCACACTACCGCTTGAGCCACATCCCCAGCCCCGGAGGTTGGCTTTGAACTCAGAATCCTGCCTTAACCTCCTGAGTCACTGCGATTACAGGTGTGCACCACTACACCCAGTTAGGCTGGGGATATCTGACAATAGTTCTGTAATGGGATCAGTTTTCTATAAAGACTACTGCTAGTTTGGGATGATAAAACTGTGCTCTATATAAGAAAGAGTAGGCATTTTTCTTTTTTAGTAGGCTGACAGACTTCTTATCTACCTGAAAATTATATTAGATCACTAATACAAGTTAAAATCATTTTAGGGCACCTTGTTTTATCCTGCCTGGTATTATGTGGCTCTGATTCACCAAGACTGCATTGGTTCCAATTCTCTTCTAGTGTATTATKGTGTATCTTCCATATGGCATTAATAATTATGGCTTTGAGCTAGATTTTTTTGATAGCTATAGGAGACGGGATTGAATGGAAAACAACAATGGAGCTAGGAAGTCTAGTCAGGACATTTCATTTTTACATGAATTGAGGTGGTAAGTTTCTGAGCTATAGCACTGTGTGTATATGATCAGGATGAAAAAAAGTAAATGGTTTAGGGCTGGGGTTGTAGCTCAGTGGTAGAGTGCCTGCCTCACATGTGTGAGGCACTCGGTTTGATCCTCAGCACCACATAAAAATAACTAAATAAAGATATTGTGTCTATCTACAGCTAAAATACACACACACACACACACACACACAAAGTAGATGGTTTAGAGAAATATTTAGGATGCAACAGCACAGTAACAGTGATAAAAAAGGTGTGTGGGATGAGAGACTCAGGGATGTTGGAATGACCAGTTGATAGAATGTAACAGCATAGGTTGAGAGGAAGATGATGAATTGCTTTTGAACATGTTGGGAGTACCTCAAGTGCATCCAGGTTTGGTTCTGTAGCCAGAAGTTCAGTATGTAATTCTGAAGCTTTAGGGTGAAGTGTTCAGAGTAGAGATAATAGTAGGCTAAGGGTGCTTCCCCAAGAATACTAGCCAAGAATTGAGTGACAGGAGGAGGAAAGTAAAAGGAAGAAATTAAGCAGGATTGGTCAGCTTCCACTAAAACTAATCTCGTGTTTTATAAATCAAAGGTTATTTACAGTGTCAAATGAAGTAAGTATTCCAGAAATATCTGAAATCACAAGCTTGTGAAGAAAAACAATTGAACCTTCAAACTTAATATTCTTCTCTGTTTTGCCCCAGGGTTTATTACCTCGAGGTGAGAAGCCCAACCCTTTGCGGCAAAAGAATGCCAAGGTGAACCAGCTTCTCAAGGTTTCCCTGCCGAAGCTTGCCAATGTGCAGCTCCTGGATACAGATGGGGGCTTTGTGCACTCGGACGGTGCCATCTCCTGCCATGACATGTTTGATTTTCTGCATCTCACAGGCGGGGGCTATGCAAAGATCTGCAAACCCCTCCATGAACTGATCATGCAGTTGCTGGAGGAAACACCTGAGGAGAAACAGACCACCATTGCCTGACTGGCTCCCATCAGTGTTAATAGCATCCCAGCTTCCTCAGATCAGTTATATCACTGGCACTACAGAATCCTCTTTCTTAAGGCACTTTGCATTGTAGAATGCTCCTGGATGCTCATATCTAGTGTTTGAAGGGAGGAGGGATTTAAACTGGTCCTGTATATAGAAGTTTTGTTTGACACAGGAGAAAAATTAGCCAAGGAAGATTGTTGTTTAAATTGATTTGAAACCAGAAGGTGACTTTTTAGTTGTTTGTGTGACACATTCATTGAATTATCACTGTTTTTCCTAGGATATCATCAAGCCCAAGTACTGAATAATATGAAGATTCTTTTCTTGGCCTTTTTCTATGGATTATGTCATATGATAATTATCAGAATCACACCTACTTGGCTTTAAACAGATGTGTTTTTTTTTTTTCCAGTTTTTAAGGTTCATAATTTAGCCTTTTGTTTTATTTTGTTTTACTCATATATGTCCTTGGTGTTTTCTTAACATATAGCATCATATTAAATGTGTATTACTCAAATATGGGAGATGCTATAGTTACAAGTGAATTTGTACCACTCTTTATCTTTCCCATGCTTAACAGTGAAAAATAGSTTTTGCCCCCTTTGACAAGCTTTTTGGAGGGTATTATTTTTTATGCTGCTGAATATCATGTCTATAATAGACTCATGCATGCAGCCTTTCCTCCTCTTTATTTCCTCATCCCTTCTCCTTTTTAATTTTATTTTTTGGTCTTTATTGRCCTTACGAGCTTTTAACAAATTTTGATCTAGGAGCTCCATTGCTGGAAGTCTGAGTCCCCAGCCAGTTACTCTCATGATGATATTACTGATGTGTAACTCATTCTTGTGTGTGATGTTCTGTGCTAGAGTCTGTGTAGTGTTATCCATATTCAGAGTTCTAGTTTGTTTTTTCATTAAAACCTATTACAGTTTCCTTTTATGAAAAAAAAATCAGAACTCTGTTTCTCATTCCATAATGCCTGACATTTCAAATTTTGWAGTATTCTGTGATGTATATTTTTAATTTTTACAGTGCTGGGAATCAAACCCAGGGCCTTGCACATGCTAGGCAAGCACTCTACCACTGAACTACCCTCTTGCCCCAGCTCTATATTTTATTTTTTTTAATATCAGTCAAAAAAATCTTTTGACATTTCGTGAGAAAACAGTAAAGCTACTGATAGGCTTTCTACCTTTATCCTGGCAGTTTAGTAAAAAAAAAACACTAGGTTCACTTAACTTTTCAGGTTTCTTATTAATGTGTCTTTATCTGAGAATTTCAAAAGCGCTCTTTATAATCTTAATGGTTTGCTTGAACTATAAGAACTGCCATTTAAGAAAATAATGGAACAGTGGGTGGTTTATTGTTTAATATACCTATGAAATACATACAAACTGGATCTACAAACATATTTTAAACTGGACCAGATTGGGTAGTGATATGACCCATCAAAATGCTCTGCAATGATTCTGCTTAAATTCATATTCAGTAMCGAAGGTATATGTTTTATGTGCTGCTTGCAAAGCAACTGGCAGGGCTTTGTGTGTTCATAGAAAGGTACTGATCTTTGTAGTACTCACATCTGACTGAGAAGGATTGAACTTGGGCTGGTTTTTTTCCTTGTTGAGCCTCTTTCTAGGATTTTTTTTTTTTTTTGTCTTTAAAAAAAGATTAGTTTTCTGAATGTATCATGTCTTCATTAACAACAGAAAATATACATGGTGTTTACTAAACTTGTTTACTATATTAAAATTCCCTTTTTATTTTTGGTAGCCCAGGCTCTTCAGTTTTTCAAGACAGATTTTTTTTAATTCTTAATGAGATATATAGTTGCAGGAAGGAGTGTTAATTAAGCCAGAATTTTGTGTGGAAAGCCAGGTTCCTATCTGGGTCTTTTTGTGTCTGTCAGAGGTGGTGGGAATATAGTCCAAATAAATCCCTTAGGTTATTCCTGCAAGCATGCGCTTTTAGCTTCTCTTGTCACTGAGGATCAAATATCCCTTTGTGAGCTGGCCTCAGCTCCTTTGCTTATGTGTATAAACCTCAGATGATAGTACATTTTATATCTACCAGAGCTATTCAAGCAATAGTATTTGAACCACTAGCCTTTTAAATAAAATTCTGCCCTGTTGCTAATGTGCAGATGTTGAGTCCACTGTCATTTCTTGCCAAGATTTCTTTGCACTGCTCTAGACAAAATGTATTTTTTACTTTGATTAACATCCCAGTTTGCTTCAGTGACAGAATTTACTGCAAAGTCTTTGTACTTTTTTAAAAATATAAATTTAATGCACTGTCCGTGAAATGTCTTAGTTGTGATTTAAGGGGCCAACTTTCCAGGCAGCTAGTAGAGATACTGTTCTGTTCCTTTCCCAGAAAATTTTAATCCCTTTGCCCACCCTCCTGCTATTTGGTAGCCAGTGATGGAACTTTAAAGATGTCTGTGTTTGGGTTGAAGGTAGACTGCCTCAGGGCGATCTAGTGCAAGTTGTTTTGTTGCCCACACAGTGTAGGTTGCCATAGGCAGTGATCTGGCCATCACCTTGAATCTTTTGTCAAAAATCTTAATCCACCAAGTCAAATCTTAAGTAGCTCATGGTCCATTCTTAAGAATTGTAATCCGTGCCTGCCTGTAATTCTACCTACTTAGGAGGCAGAGGCAGGAAGATCCCAAATTCAAGACCACCCCAGGCAATTTAGCATGGAAGACCCTGTCTCAAAATAAAACAAACCTGTTGGGGATGTATGTAGCTCAGTGGTGGAACGCTTGCCTAGGAAGCGTGAGGCCCTGTATTTAATCCCTCGTATCACTAAAAAGGAAAAGAATTGTTAACTCTTGTTTATAAACATAAAAAGAAATTCTTGGCCTTTTTTTTTTTTTTTAACCTAGTCACTGTTTACAGTTGTATGCTAAAGCCTGAAATAATGTCTGTGCTGTGGTGTATGAACATTGCCAATTTTATATTTATTGCAGTGAAGAAGAAACTAAAATTATTTGAAAAGGAGGAGCATGTCCAGGCTCCTGAATCTGTGTGGGTCCATGTGGGAGCAGTGAGTGGGCGCCTCTTGAAAGGAGGCTTTTTGGAGAGGAGCCCCAGACTCCCCTGGGGTGTTCCTTTGGGGAGTCACTGCCACTGGCTGTCTGAACCTCCCCAAGGGGAGCTTGTGACTCTGCTTTGGCAAAGTTTCCTTGACTATTAGTACTCATTCTGTTTAGTGCATATTTCAATATAAATGTCCATTTCACTCGAACTTGCTGATGTCTTTCTGTCTCCTTTTATCATATTTTGGATTCCAGTGGGAAAAAGAAGGGGTGGTTTTTTTCCTACCTTATCATAAGTAAATTGGATACTTTTATCATTTTGCTTTTCTGTGGAACTGAATGTACCTTCTTGGGTGGGGTGAATAGTTACAAGGAATCCTGGGTACAAAAGAGGAAAAATTGTTAAATGTGTTCAGAGTATCTGGTAATTAAAAATAACTCTTAAACCATAAACTGACCTTTTGACCCTTTTCCCTAATCTGCAGTGTTTAGAATTTATTCACGTAAAATGTCCCAGGTTGYACTGTTTTTCCATTCTGTACACTAACAATTTATAGGTTTTTATTTTTAATTTTGAAAATCTCTCCATTATTGCCCTGAGGTTAAACTTAAGCACTTGAAAAAGTTTGCACTGCTGAGTTTCTTTGCCATCCAGATAAAAAAGCCTGGTGGCCTGGGAATGTGGCTCAGGAGTAGGGATCTTGTTTACCATGTATGAGGCCCTGGGTTCCATCCCCAGCACTGCAAGGAAAAAGAAATGCTCAGGACAGTGTTTTCCATCTGTTAACCTCTTGTGTGATTAATGTAACTGCATTCTTTTTACTCTTGCCTAAGAGGCCCAGAGACTTTTTGTTTTGTTTTGTTTTGTTTTAATCTTGTCCTGGTTAGTAGTAATTTAAATGGTTGATCTAGAAATTGAACCCAGCTTCACCTGACTTAAAAGTCCTAGCTCTTGCTGCTGCTAATTCATGCTGAGGTATCTTTTTGGCTCCAGCTTTTGATTTGCTAAGTTGAGGACAGATCCCTGGTTTCCTTTCAGTTGAAGGTCCTGGGAATGAAGCAAGACAGTCTTCCCACTTGAACCAAGTCTGGAGTTCCTTCAGTCTTTCTGCAGCCATAGTAATGAGAATTATTTAAAGTGCATTGTCTGGTTATCTTCCTACGTTAAACCAGCAGTAAAAAGAAAATGTGAATATGGAGCAAGAATTTTTGGTAGTATACATGAAGGGGTTCAAAGATTGCCTAGCTACTCTTATTAAAAATTCAGATTAATAGGAAAATACTACTTGACTAAATGAATTTAAAAATCTAAAGAAGGGTTAGAGGGCAGGGCTGGGGTTGTGGTTCAGCTGTGGAGTGCTAGCCTAGCATGTGTGAGGCCCTGAGTTCGAGCCTCAGCAACTCTTAAAAATAAATGAATAAAAATAAAGGCATTATGTCCTCCTACAACTAAAAAATATTAAAAAAAAAAAAAGGAGGAGGAGGTGGGTTAGATATATAGCTCAGTCAGTGGTGGAGTATTTGCCTAGCATGTGCTAGGCCCTGAGTCTGTCTCTAGTATAGCAGAATAGGAATAAAAGCAATTAAAAGCTCAAGGTTTAAGTATAATCGCAATATATTGCAGAAAGATAACTTTTAAGTAGGTAGGAGTTTAGCAGTTTCTGAAGCTGTGGGGAGTGACCACAGTTGCAGATGAAAACGTCAAACGAGGAGTTCTAGTCAGATCTTCAGAAAGCACAGCTAACTCCCTTGAAGTCCACCACATAAAAGGCTAGAACCATTTTGCAGAAAGGTTAGTTTGGGTTCCTGTGGTAGAATGCCTTATCTGAACTGGGTGAGTGTCATCAGACTGAATTAATGTGACAACAGAATGTAGGACATGAACCTTGAGCATGGGCTCATTTATCACCTTTTAAACTAAAGCAGCCTCCTCTAATTATTCTCTTCTATGAGATCTACACCTATGAGACTAGAACAAAGGTCAGTTACTCAGCTGACATCAGTACCTATCCTGATAATATACCACACAAGCTAGTGGATATTCCACGATAGTATTCCTTGATAGAAGTTTCACAAATCTTTGTATGATTCATCACACTTCACCACAGTGCTGCTACTAAACTAAAATGGCTTACTTCAATAGCATGGTAAAAATGTGGAAATATTAAACTGAGGAATTTTTGTTTTCCTAGTTGCCCTTCCCCTATATCTAATCATTCCAAATTTCTCTCCATCTATGAAGGTCTCTCCTTTATCAGCAGCTTTCATGAACCCT